ACTCTAACATTGGAAAATTAACTACCATTAATACTGTTACGACAGCGGAAGTCGCGCGACACTGGGAGCATGCGCTGGAGTTCTAGAAAGATCGAGGAACCTGTCGAACGTCCTTGCATTTGCTAGACGCACGCACTTATTGTATATAAGCCGACAAATAAAGTGACGGCAGAAATAGAATTGCAGAGACGGATAATCGAGTCAAGCCGTAAGTAAAGTGTGTAAATCATTGTGAATTATAACGTGTGTTTAAGTGAAAGTGACTGTTTACAAATATAACACACAAAGATCTATACATAGTCTGACTTCTTCAAACTGTAAATATTTAGATTTATTAGAGTTTTAGCTTTTACATATTAAGTGACAACGAAGTTGTTATAAGATTAACGAAAATTTAGTAATGTTCACTTTAGTAACAGAAATAAGTTAAAAGTCATAACATATTATTGCATGGTTCTCTTTAAGTTACAGTTCAGAGATGAGAGAATATTATGCACTTTTAAGGTAGTTTATAACATGTGATCATCGATAAAAATCATTCTTTTGATGGTAAATAGGTGTGCAGTGCAGAAGATACTGTCACTGCAGTTATTTCTGTTGGTGAAAAGAAACGATTTTTATGAACGCGGTATTTCATAAAGGCAGCCTCGAGGTCTCGTGTCAAGACTGTCCAAGCAAAAAATGCAGACAAACACCGAGATAATAGGAGTTCCCCTCATACAGAGCCACAAAAATAACTTACGTTCAATCTACGCTAAATGTACCGCGACTTTCTTATGTTACGAGAGCATCCAAATGCAGGAGATGCCGGACTTGACCTATCATCTAGTACTCGAGTTTGTGGGTCGTCTAGAAATGCCATACCTAAAGTTAAATACCTTAATAAATGATTTAATGTTAATGACTGGTATAGTGTTTTGACTGATACTTCGATACATTTCCAGCTGACTCTAATACTACATATCATACATACCCAGAACTGCTCTGTTTTCCATGATTCACCTGCTTTTATACCCCAAAGAGACTCGTTTTTCGAATAACTCAATTCCTGTATACCATGCCTTGCACTTCTTGTTTTCTAATCTCTTTTGCTCTGATTTATAACTTATATTCATTTCAATTACTCAATTCCCAGTCTTGGGGTAACCCCCTTCTCTTCTATTTCCCTTTCTGGTGCCAAATTTTTCTCTTCTTTTCGACTCCTCAGAGCCAAACCTACTAGAGTAGACACTGACGAGAAAAGCGATGACCACAGTATCAAGAAAGAAAGACAGGAAGAAAGAGAAGGCTGCGGCGCTGAGAAAGAAAGGAGGAGCTTGGATTCAGAAGGTCTAGAAACATTAACAGAAAGGTGAGGAAAGAAAGACAAGAAACTATAGTATACAATGGTAACAGATGTTGGGTTGCTCCAGGCTGGGTCTCCAGTACGACAGGAACACCCCTGAAAATATGTGGACTAAGATAAGGAGGCCACCAAAAACCATGGGTAGAAGTGTGAAGGAAGCATACATTAACTAGAAGAGTACCCCTACCCACTAAGTCCCAGTAAGAGAAATCACAGAAGATGTGGTAGGTTAGAAGTAGTCGTATGAGTTCGTGTAATGAAAACAAGAGAATGGACCACTCCAGAATTTCTTGGGAGTATGATGAAGTGTCTCCAATATAAGGGGAAGGTAGTGTAGAATGGTATATCTGTTGCTGTATCATTTCACAAGTCAGAGTTGTGATTCCATATCATTTCTCACACTTACCCTTCACTTATTACTTCTGGGCATGTTCTTCAACTACCCTCTCCATAAGATTCTTTGCCTACGAGCATCAGAAAGTTTTGTTACCAAGGTTTGTGCATCCTTTGCATTCTGCCCACGATTTTCTTTTCCTTGAGAACTCTATTTTCCCCACACGTTCCTTTGGGCCATCAAATATGTGATGCTTCCAGTGGTATTTGCAGGGCCCATGAAACCTTTTTGGGTTCTGTTCTCGATTGTGCATTTCTTCCACATAATGACTTGTATTACTCACTTGACCATGCAAATACCATGGTGGGCACCCCTTGCCACCCACTCAACTGGATCTCCATCTCTTCACAGATGCTTGTCTGTCGGAGTGGGGTGAGTCTCTAACAGACGAAATAACTTCATGCATGTGAGCTCCTGAGGGAAGTTCACTCTACATCAAAATACTCGAACTTCTTGTTTTGTCGGGCATGTTACACCCTCCTCATTTCAACAATCCCCAATCTTTTCGTATATCAAATGTCAGGGTGATATTATAGGACTCTGCTTCCGAGCTCTGAACCTGCTGTTTGGGTTCACTCCCATCGAGTATGTCTCTTAACTTACATATGCTTGGGGCTCTGAACCTGGTAAAGGATTGCCACTCTTAACTAGAAAGAATTCTACATCTTGTACTGCTGCATTCTAGAATGTAATAAATGATGTAATCCGTGCTGTATTGTTGTAAATTATATCATTTCATCACGTGATAAATCTGTACTGCTGTAATCTAGAATGTGATAAATGATGTAATACGTGTTGCATTGCGGTAAATCACATGATTCCATCACGTGATACATCTTGTACTGCTGTATTCTAGAATGTAATAAATGTGTACTACGTGCTGTTTTGTGGTATTTTACATCATTCCATCACGTGATACATCTTGTACTGTTGTATTCTAGAAGGTAATAAATGATGTAATACATGTTGCATTGCGGTAAATTCCATCATTCCATCACGTGATACATATTGTACTGCTGTATTCTAGAATGTAATAAATGATGTAATACGTGTTGCATTGGGGTAAATTACATCATTCCATCACGTGATACATCTTGTACTGTTGCAATCTAGAATTTAATACATACTACATTGTGTTAAACATCATTTAGTCACGTGATACATAATGTAGTCTAGGTATGAAAGTGACTTTCTTTAAGCGGATATAACTGGTATTATACACAGTCGTATTCACTGGTCTTTTAAGTTACGCGATTTACTGTTTTTACAAACACTAAGAAAAACTATAAGATATCTAAATATCTCTTAATATTTAAGAAATTTTTGTTCCATTCACCAATTTTAATTATGTAGATCAGAATTTTTATGGTATGATTATTATGATATAGCTCATTCACTACAATTGTACATAACAATGATTATCATGATGTAACACATTTTATACTGCTATTTACCACTGTAAATGAATGCACTACATCATGATAATCACTGTTATTTACCACTGTAATGGATGTACTACATCATGATAATCATTGTTATTTACCACTGTAATGGATGTACTACATCATGATAATCACTGTTATTTACCACTGTAATGGATGTACTACATCATGATAATAACTGTTATGTACCACCTTATAGAATGTGTTACATCATGATAATCATTGTTATGTATCACTGTAATGAATGTACATCATAATAATCACTGTTATGTTACACTCTAAATGAATGTACTACATCATGATACCATTATGTACCACTCTATAAGTGTTACATCATGATAATGATTGATATGTACCAATGTGATTAGCTTGATGTAGTGCATTCATTTACAGTGGTAAATAACAGTGATTAGCATGATGTAGTGCATTCATTTACAGTGGTAAATAACAGTGATTATCATGATGTAGTACATCTTTTACAGTGGTACATAACAATGATTATCATGGTGTAGTACATCCTTTACAGTGGTAATAACAGTGATTATCATGTTGTAGTACATCCATTACAGTGGTAAATAACAGTGATTACCATAATGTAATGCATCCATTACAGTGGTAAATAACAGTGATTATCATGATGTAGTACATCCTTTACAGTGGTACGTAACAATGATTATTATGATGTAGTACATTTTATACAGTGGTACGTAACAGTGATCATCATGTTGTAGTACATCCATTACAGTATGGCATTTTCTCACGCGGCCTGATTACTAGAACTATAAACGATAAGACTATTTGATGAATAACTTGAACGTTTTAGGTGGTTTGATCTATGATGCGAGATGATGCACACTTGGAAGTTTTTGTAAAACAGCTGCGAATCTCTTTCTTTTGTATGCTGTGCACGTGTATCGTTTCGTATTCATATGTAATATAACTAAAGGAAGGTGCCACAAATAAGGAGTTTAAGAGAATGTAAAATATTTTATATTGTTCTCACATTCTTCTTTTCTACCTTGGTTTAGGTTATCAATCTATTGGAATTTGAACTAATTTTCATGCGGGTGATGTTAAGAAATGGTTAATGAAAGAAGATAATATAAAACTGTGCAGGAAATTACACGTAGTGGTTGTTGAAACAGGTAAGAAGAAGTATGTTGTAGGTCAAACCACTAAGGAGTTAATATATAAAATATTATATATAATTGTGGATATATCGTTTCGGGCAATGCCCTTCTTCAGGTATCACTAACTGAACAGTAAATCCGTGAACAAAAAACATGATTATACAAATACATGTGCACGCACGCACATACATATATGAATATATAGGCATTATAGTTTTAAAAAAGAATAGATACATAATTTACTGTATAAAACTTTTTAAGAAATGATAAAACTAAAACTGGAAATATTACAAAAAGCTAAAACGTTCATTTAGCCCATCGCGGTGGAAAGTTCCCAGGTCAAAAATTATTTTGTTTTCTTGTACTTCGCGGTCATGTTTGTTTGTAGGAGCCTTCTTCAAAACAAGAATTTTAAAATGGCCAAGGGTATGGTTCTGCAAATTGAAGTGTCGAGCCGCTGGTTTATCCGTGTTACAATTTATTATGTCTCTGAGATGTTCTCGGGTACGTTCTGCCAATAATCTACTGGTTTCTCCTATGTATGATTTTCCACAACATGAGTAAACAATGGAATATATGACGCATTATGATGTGCAGTTAAAATTGATCCTTAATGTAAAAACTCGACTTAGGACCCTTCACGGATGTTTTTGAGTAAGTGTAAGCACATTGTAGACACGACTCTCGACATGTTCGATAATGAGATTACTGTAGATGATCCAGATCTAGATATATTTGGGGATGGGATTCCTGTAGAAGATCCCACTCCAGGCATATCTGGTAATGAGATTCCTGTAAAAGATCCCACTGCAGGCATACCTGGGGATGAGATTCCTGTAGAAGATCCAACTCCAGACATATCTGGTGATGAGATTCCTGTAGAAGATCCCACTCCAGGTATATCTGAGGATGAGATTCCTGTAGAAGATCCGACTCCAGACATATCTGATGATGAGATTCCAGTAAAAGATCCCACTCCAGGCATACCTGGAGATGAGATTCCTGTAGAAGAACCCACTCCAGTTATATCTGAGGATGAGATTCCTGTAGAAGATCCGACTCCAAACATATCTGGGATGAGATTCCTGTAAAAGATCCCACTTCAGGCATATATGGAGATGAGATTCCTATAGAAGATCCCACTCCAGGCATATCTGGGGATGAGATTCCTGTAGAAGACCCCACTCCAGACATACCTGGTGATGAGATTCCCGTAGAAGATCCGACTCCAGGCATATCTGGTGATGAGATTCCTGTAGAAGATCCCACTCTGGGGATGAGATTCTTGAGGTTAAAAAATATAAGTAACAAATATTGGAACTAGAAAAAATTTATTTTCTATTTAAATCCAATGGAAATAAATTAGGATCATAATTAAAATTATCAGTAGAAATGGGAAACCTGACCTTTATCAAATATAGATTATATAATTTTTCTATTTCTTGTATTTTTTCACTTATTTCTATCATTTTCTTAAAAGTATAAATTATTTTTCAGCTTGTACGGGCAAAAAAAACAACACTCACAAACCCACAGTTATTATTGGTTATTTTTATACTTTTGAAATAATAACCTACAAATTTTGTCTTACGT